TCTACAAGAGCCAGGAAAAATTGTTGAAAGTTTGTACTGACGGATGTTAATCAAACTAATCAGATGTCTAGAACTTGGAGTGGACTGACTGAGTTTTTACTTTTACAATTTTTCCGCACTGGTCTGAATGTTTCACTCTCGCATAAAATCACCACAGTAGAAAAACTGCTTGTTTGTGATACACTTTTATAACTAACCCTCAGTATCAGTAGCCAAAGAGAAAATGATGGGACTTGAAGACTTAGCAGCCTTGTTAACTACATAATCATGAATATCACATAGGCATATGAAATCACTTTTATAAACTGAAAGCGTCTGGTGCATTGCACGCATATTTTTCTCTCTTTAGTTTCTCCGGAAAAGGTTTCAAAAGAGCCACTAGAGTTATATCAATTGAGGCAAGTTTATAGGTGGAAGTTAATCTAGATAAAAAGAGAGGTTTATTTCTTCCCACACTTGCTCGCTTCAATCTCGCTTAGAATAGTTTTTGTCATCAAAACTGTTAGAGCATGTTAGTAATTTATTTGTGATCACTGCTCAGTGTTCGTCACAATTTATTCGCCATATGAAAACGTATTCAGCGGTTGGTATGCCGAGCTGAGACACTGATGCTTATATTGCCGTACTCTGATTTGATTCTAGCGCACTCTATAAAACGGTACCACCCGCTTATGAGAACATTAGAATACAGTTGACTTGTCTCCCACTTCAGAACAGTTTTGGTGCATCAAAGCATGTGCAGCATATCCTGGAAAACAAGTAGTTGAAGTTACAAAGTAATTTCAGGACCACTCTTATGGTAGTTGTGTTAGTTCGAAGAACAGGTCACTTCGCAGGCAAGCGTAGTATATTCTGGTTAATGAGTAAATGAAGACGCATGAAATTTTAAAATTCACTTTTGTCTGGGGGAAAAAAACTCTACAGCAATATAGATTCTTCTCCTGGTCAAAGCCCAGTTCATACTGCCAAACTTGATTCTTCGGTGGGGCGTGATTTGTATCTTAATCAAGAATTGGATTTCTCAGCGTTGATATTTCATTCTAGCTGCTAATTCTAGACTTTGTTGAATGCTGCATTTCAATCAACGCGATGGAAACCCGCCAATTTAGCTCCTGAAAAAAGCGAAGAGAATAAGTCTCTTTCTGTTGCTAAGTCAGACCAAGTCAATTAATCTGAACTAAGCAGCTTTTATTTATTACTTTAAACTCTTACCAAGATAATGAATATCTATCTCTCTTATTCTATCTCTCTCTCGTGTTTCAAATGTTACCCTCAAATCAGCCAATGATCCCCTGCTAAGAAAAAAATGGTAATAGGAGGGTTCGCCCCTTCTGGTTTTAGAAGATGAACATAAAATTCAAAACACTCAATCTACCTCGTCGATCTTTCATCTCTGTAGAGATCACGAGGAACGATTTTTCCGCGTGTCTATGGGCCTCTTAAAAATGAAATGATCTTGTGTCTTTTAAATTGCTCACATGTATGGATTTGATGAATATACAATAAAATATATATATATATATATATATATATATATATCACAGTTAATAGATAAAAATAAGCCTATTGATGATTGAATATTTGAATAAAGAAAGATATCTCGCCGAATATTTTGTCCAGCAGTAATGCCCCACACGCCGTCTCAGTCCCTTCTCGGTCTTCCTGAATAACTTAAAGCTGAAAGCTGACTTCTCACTTAAAACATATAATTTGCAAGAAAATGACCAATGATACAGCAAGTTGCTAAAGTTTGCCGCCTATGTACCAACTATAAATATCTTTCACTGTTACTAGACCATATGACGTTCTTTTGGTTTCTTTAGAAAGTATCTTAATATTCATGCTGTGCTTGAAACATGCATGACATACATGACAAGGAATGGAGTGTATTAACTAGCCAAGTGCACCTTTGTTCTCAATTAGTCTGTTACAGTCGAGTTATGGCAAACAAAAAGCAACAAATAATCGCATCAGGTAAGTTATTCCCACACTCCGCATTGTGACCGTGAGAAGTGGATGGCCATGCATAAGATTATCGTATCTGTCTCGTGTCTATCGAGAGAATGTTTTGTCTTATCACAATTTTTTTCAATTGAATATTAAGAATATAATGGGTAAGCCTACTCTCGCTCTCTTAAAATGCGTTATTTGATGAAAAATCGCCCTTACACGAAGAAAGGATCACTGGGCCAAGATTTCCCATCCGTTTGGTTTGCAAAAACTTCCGCCTTGGATAAAAACGCCGCGTAATCGGGCAAATGCGTGTAGTAACTCGTCCGGAAATTGTCTAATTGTCTCAGTAAAGATTCCCGAATACGAAAAACATCTCACCCCCTTCCACGGCACAAAGCTGACAAAATTCAAATATGATTTAACTGTAAAGACGCCCATTGCAATGCAGGTAAAGATTTGCCTAACTTTGGTTAGATATTCTTACCTTTCCTACTTTAAAAGCTTCCAGACTTCAGATACATGTTCTCTCTCAAAGAGATGCAAGTCAATGACGAAATACCCTGCTCAATCGATAAAACTAAAAAAAAAAGTCAGGCTATTATAATATTTCCGGTATTATCCTTTTCGGCATCATTCATTGTTTCCTTTTGTGAATGGACAATACTATTCCACCAATTACTTTTATAACATAGCTAATAAATTTGTCCAATCAAATTCAATTGCATGAGCGTGCTTCATATTCCTACTGTGCACGCTCATGACGTCA